ACCTATTAGAGCTCGCGTACTCTACATTGGTGGCAGCGGATGCGTCCGAATAACGCAAATCGAACCCCGGTGCTTTTTTTTCTATGGTCAACACAGGCAAAGACCCTTAAATGCCAGCTGAAATTGTCATGGCGTTCATCCGATGTCCAAAAAAAATGGATCCATAGATATTGCCCGGGATTAGGACTACTGCACCTGAAGGGGCCTTGGCAACTCAGCGACGGCGACTTGGACAGTGAAAGCCAGCTGGACTGCATCTGCGAAGGACCTTAAATGGATGATGAGTCTTTCTTGAAAGGCTACAAGAGCAAAGTCCCTTGTCAACTATTCGCATGGGCCACTATCCTGCCAGATGTGGGGTGCGGGGAGTGTCGAACTGGATATTTTACCAACACCGGATATCAACAACAGTACAAGGAGCCAAGCCAGAAGCTGAGGACAGCTTCTCTCGTAAGGGAGAGGCAGTGTGGCGTCGGATGAGGGCGCAGATATTTTGGAATAAGCTGGTCTCAGCCAATTCTCTGTCTGTTTGCGTTCAGAGGACATGCAAGATAGACATGCAAACGACCAGAGACTGACACGCATGAGTAACGGTATATAAGGAGCTGCACGGCTAGAGTGTCGTGGGCTCGGTTTGATTGCGCCTGACGTAAGGTTCTGGCTTGTGAATGGTCAATTAAACCTGTTCTGTTATAACAGAATATTTCGCAATTGGGCGAGGGTGTTCTACAATAAGTAGAAGTAAAGCAATTTTAAATTATGGCTCTCTAAGCCAATCGTCCGCATAAATGCATTTGAATGACCTACAAGATCAGCAATTGACAGAATACATGGGTTGATACGAATTTTTATTATGAGAAAAACGCTGCTTCTTGAACACTCACATAAAATACTTCTAGAAGAGGCTTCTAGCTTGTCCTATATCTAAAGGCGAAATATTACCTACATTCTGCATAGTTTAAAGGCGCACGTCCTTACTAAATTACCTGTAATCAAAATTGTGAAAAAAATAATTAGGCATGATTATACCTGCATTCAAAAAAACAGGTAAGTTTAGAATATGTGATGTTACTCAATGCGCGTTCGGAAGAGCACTGTAAACCGTACAGGAATATCGGCATTATGCATAGCTTTATCGAAAAGCACGTGATGAATTGACAAGTTTCACCCCGGACACAACAAAATAAACAAGTTGAAAACGGACCTTTCTGCAGGTCCATCGACATCCGCTGTAAAAACACCTCCAAATTGACCATCGATTCGCGTTCAAAATCTCGTTAAGCCGTTCAACACCTTTTAAGGGAAACTCATTTACATGGCTAACCAACGCGCACAACTGTACCGATAATTCAAAATGTAGCTTCCTCTTGGAAAGGCGTGACTTGAAACACTAAGCTTCAATGTTCCCCCTCATGGATAACAAACTCAAGTCTCATTACCTGTGAGTAAGCAGCTGGTTCTGTACCCAGTGCATGGCTGATAAGACTACCATACATCAGTTGGCAGCATTTTGGAAGAGTTACAGATAGAACAAATCCTTCACTCGAATCCGAACTACAAAATGTCGGCTTTATCAATCACCGTTGCCTTCATATCCTCTCATTTCAAAGATGTCTCGAATCTAAAATAGGAAGCTCGAACACAGCATAAAATGCATATTTGCTACCTGTCAGTCGATAACTAGTCCCCTTTATAAGCCCATAGGTACAATGAATTTTCAGCACTACATCCCAACACCACTTTCCAACCACTTGATTAACTCTGCAGTTAAATGCATATAGTGGCTGCTGCTTTTTTCTAAAATCCGTGATGAACTAGAACAAACAACTGTGCTTGCGGTAGTGCTCACGACATATCGTATTAACCTGCAGATCTATTGTGTACGCCTTCCATGCTCGTAGGTGAAAACGCTGGAATACACCCGTTATCAAGGTGGTTAATAAACATAGTCTGAATTCTTCCCACAAGACAATGCGTATACTGATCGTAAACTTGATTCAAATGCTTTTCGCAAATATTTCGCCTAAATGTCATGCTGCGAATCGAAGCAGTACCTCAATTTGGTCTATTTAGGTACAGCATCTTTTGGGCGCTTAAAATTTCCTCCAGACACACATTACGGACAACGTCCTTTCGATTCCCACTGGTCTCCTATATCAATGCTATTACCCCATGTCGATACTGGCATATGCTTAAGAGGTGAAATTATGTCTCTATATTAAAGGTACAAAGTCTTTTGAAAAAAAATCTATGAAAGTATGGAACTTTATAGCCCAAAACTCGTTTTTTAGAAAGAAGCGGAAATTTTTAAAGACACGATCTATTTAAAATTGACATCGAAGTCTATAAACGATTACACGGTACTAAAATAGCCATAGCGACACTTCACCAGCAGATGCTCATGGTGATTTGAAAGTCATCATGTGCATTTAGAGTGTCTTTGTAAAAATGTACATAATGAGAGCTGAGAGCCCGGCAGAAATCGGCAATGTGGCAACCCAAGCAAAGATAATGTTTACAAAAAGCTTCCAGTTGACGCTAGCTTTGGAACGTATGTACCCGACGGAAACCACTGCGCCAACCAAACAGTGTGTCGTAGAGACCGGGAGTGCTGCCTTACTTGCGATTAAAACTGTAACCGCCGCGCCAAGTTCGATGCACATTCCACTAAAATAAATAAATTGGAGTTTAGTCAAGAGGATAATAAACGTCAGTACATTCTAGACCTAGGGTAGGGTTGAATGAATTCGGTAGTATATTCCTTGGGTCAAAATATTTTCAAATTAGAAAGTTTTTGATGAGAAGCTTGTGTCAAAAACTTGGTGCCATGGTTTTGGTATTGATCAACGTGATATCTTACGAAAAAAGATGCAGAAGTAATCTGAACTACGAACCTGGAAGGAGTAATGACAGTTAAATCGGTCCCGATTGTCTGCATTACTTTTCGGCCCCACACGCACAAGCCAACAGAGATGCCAACTCCGCCAAAGAACAAAATCCATACTGGAGGCGAGGCTGACATCAGAGCATTGCCAGTTGTGCAAACAAGCCAAAGACCAATTAGAGGTCCGATGGCGTTGCTGAAAAAGATCAAATGCGTAACTTACACAATATGATAATTTGTCATAGTCGCGATTAGAATAATGAACTCAAAGACCAAAAAATAAAACATTGAGTCTGTCACCATCTATATTGCCTGTTTTACAGGCTCTAATAATTTTTTAAGTTGTTTTTTACAAGTTGTTAAGTTTGTCTGCCTTAAAATTTGTGGCGTGCTCAAATCTCTCCTCAGAAAATTATATTTCGTCGTAAAATCCCTAGCCAAATGATAGGGGACTAAAATAAACGGTTTGCTATATTTAGGTTCCCTTTTCTATTTGGGAAATGAACACCATGCACAAAAACCAGATATTTCAAGGTTCCTGCTAGACTCAAGAAAACAGCACCCACCTGACATCGTTGCCACCATGAACAAATGAACCGAACGTTGCAGTGAGGATTTGTGCAAAAGCAAACACTTGCGCTTCTTCCGGCCTATCGTATGCACCCTTGTGTGCTCTAACCTGGTACAAAAAAACAAATGATAAAAAGCAGAGTAAAAGTCTGATAAACTAGGCCAAATAGGGGCCAGAATGAGGAATGCATACAAAACGACCAGGTCAATGTCTAATTTTCCAAAGTCGCAATCTTCTCACAACTAAAATTGTAACAAATGTGTGAATAGCTCTCTTGTGCTACCCCGAAATTCTACTTGTGCGAGCGAACGAAAGGCTAACATCTGGAAGACAATTAGGCATTTACTTCACATTCATTCTAACGAATGAAAATGCAAGCATTCGGCCATTGCGAATTTCCACAAGTTAACGCCTATGCCATTATTATTGGATTAACCGAGCATCCCGTTTAAAGGTCAGGTAGGCGATGGCGCAGAATTTATGCTCAGGTTCTCATTTTTTGTTACTTTAAGCACTTTTAAATCCACACGAGGCCAGTCGAAAAAGCAAATTGGACGAAAGGAGTAGCAATAAAGAAAAATTCCAGATACCTCTTTTTCTTCTACGAATGTGACTGTGGAGGCATCAGGCTGTTGCGAAGCTCCTTGAGGAGGCTCAGGAATTCCAATTTCAGTAATAGAAGGTACTGTTTGAAGTTCAACTTTCCCTGTCTCATCTCCTGAGGGCCCTGGAAATAAAATTTCCAGGCTTAGTATCAGACAAACTAATACGACGGGAAGCGCATAATTGATCCCAGCTGTACCGTTGCTATTTTCATAAATGTACTTAACATGATCAGGATAAGACTATGGTTACTTCAAATTTTTACTACTCTCAGTGCTTTTTTTTCGGAATAATAAAGGAACTTATTTAAAGTACTCAATCATACCAGGCAATAAACAACAACCTTAATGTTTTATTTAACAAAAATCGGACTTGATCAAGTGGACGCAGAGATTCCTGCCGCATATCTTTCCAGAAATTTACAAATATGGGTTAATTGTTCAAATACGATGCCTTATTCTCAAGAATAAATGCAAACGACACAAAAAACATCGTCAAATAAAATGATGTCCTCCTAAGCAATGCCCTTCATGTTGTTATAGCCTCTCAAATCGAATAACACAGAGCAGAAGAAAACTCGGTTAGATCAGTTCCATTTCGCCCTTTAACAAAAACTGTCATGGATTGTCAAAGAATCTATAACCGTGAATGAGAAGTATTAAAGGTTAAACATCCACACCCTCTGATAGCTTCAGTAGGCGGGAAGGATTATTAAGTACTATCACTTACAGGACGGAGTGCTTAACGCAAAGGAACAAAAATGGGTGAAGTGTTCTATGGTGTCATCTTTACTACTAAGAGAGCTGAAGCACGATGCAGTCTTAGGCCAAATTTCATTATAATTCTACTTCCGAATTTCAACTACAAAGGGTCATATTTGAGTTTGGATAATTACATACCAAAGTCAATAAAGCATGTACGGAACAAAAAGTTTGGAACTTCACATCAACAATGAAATGGTTTCGCAACAAATGATCCTTTTTTGGTTATACAATTAAGAACTTACCAGCATCAGCACCTGAACCTTCGGCAAAATGAGGAGTGTCATTGTTTTCCTTTGTGCTTTTTCGTAAGTGAAGACCATGTAATATACGATCTCGAACCTTATTGATAAGCCTATATTTTGGCTCCTCTTTTTCCACATTCCACTTTCCACTAGCCATCAATTCGAGTCGTTCTAAAAGAAAAAGTATGGATGCAGAATCCAAAGAGTTTCATTAAGATAATTTGCAAGGTTTAGGCTTACTTAGGACCTTTTTCCTAATTATGGGTCGCACGAAGAAGAAAACTATCAGACCAGCGGTGATGCCTGAGCCAAAGCTTATAGCAAAGGTGACCCACAACGGTATTTCAGGAAGATTAAAGACTAAAACCGGAAAAATAATTATTTGAAACCAGTAAAATTTTAAGCCTACGCATCAACAAGTAAAAACTTACTGTGAAGACCTCCGTAAATTACGGAAAACACGTTAACGATTATGGTAACGCCATACAAAAATGGAAGAGTGTAAAGGGCCGGCTCAAGGGACTGCTCCTATAATTTAAACAAGTCATATTTTAATGGTCAATTATTTCCAACACAGTTGTCTTGTTTAAACCTGCATTTATGTCAACGAAATACTGATTCTGAGTTATAGGCAAATGGATCATTAGGTTCTTTTGATAGAAATCAGTTATTACCTTATTGCCATTTAATCAGACCCAAACTTACCTTGACCAAAACGAAGTATTTGATAATAAGAAACAAGATGGACGAGACAAAGCCACTCAATAAAGGTGACACAAACCAAGAAAGAACTAAAAGGAAAGACGCATAAAAATTTGTTCGCTGCTTTTGGGAGTTTATAGCAATCGGGTTCATAAGGCTCGCAGCCGATTGCTTAACATTAGTTTAAAACAATAGGAATCTATCAAGTGATGTGCAAGAATATAGAAATTTTTGAAAAGTGAGGAAACCTACGGCTTTTGAGGAGTGCAAGCAACAAGAGTACACTGCAACTTTCCGACAAATATCGAAGCATAGTAAATATTTACAAAAACTACGCTACTTTGACATACTATAACTAAGGAGAGCATTTAAATTTACCTATTTTTAAGATACCCATCCAGTTGACACCGTCTAGGCCAAAAAGCATAAGACCAAATCCGGCTGTAGCACCTACGATACTGTGCGTAGTCGAAACGGGAAGCTTAAAAAAAGTTGCAACAATCATCCACACACAGGCACCTACCACAAAAAAAAGAAAGTAAGATAAACTGCCTGAGCCATATTTCAGATTATTTCTACAACAAAGAACCTTACCGCAGAGGGACGCAACCTGACCCTGCATGAGTATGCGAGGACCATCTTCAGTAGCATTAAAACATTCGGGCTTGATAATGCCACCACGAATTGTTTGGGATACGTGCGCGCCAAGAAGTACAGACCCAGAAGTTTCAAAGATTGTTGCCAAAATGCAAGCGGATCGCAAAGTTAATACCTTGGAACCAACACTTGTTCCAAATGAATTAGCAACATCGTTTGCACCAATGCCGAAAGCAAGCATAAAGGCTATGAAAAACCCGGCGACTAACAGAATTAACTCAGTTTCCGTTATCATTTCGGCCTATGTAACAGAAAGAAAATAATGTGAAGCCAAGAAGTGTCTGGGTCACAACTCGTATATGCATAAAGCATAAAATTAAAAAGCTTACAATAAAAATTGTATAGCTATATCCAAAGAATTGTTACGACCCGCAGACTCAAATCCCAACACGAAAAATGAAGTACCAGCAAGAGGAAAATCGACGACCTTTATATAATGTGTTATCGCGAACGCTTATTGGTTTTTTAAAAAAATAATTAGATTGGAAAAACAATCACTGAATTAATCTCTTTTTAATATTAGCAATTAAAATACATGCGTTTGGCTTTAATGATTTTTACTTGCAAGTTTTGTTCAAAAAATTACTACTTTTTGCTTTTACCGAAAAACAACTAGCAAGAAGTCACTTAAATACAGAAGAAAGAAAAACTTTAAGTTGAAGAAAAACCCCTTTATTATTATTACCATTTTTATTTAACAAAGAGTTTAAGCACTCCAATATATCCAGGAAAAAGTCTAACGCCGTATCAAATTTTACCAATATAAAAGCTGGTTAATTCATGTATATTTACGACTTTAAAAATGAGTACAAAAAATTTTCAGATTATCTTGGCCAGGTAAAATTTCATATCCACGCAATGTAAGTGCATATTTTCAAAATGGTAACCATTGCAAGTAGCTGATTTATCTGCTCTAATTAATTTAGAGAGGGTTCATTTAGCAATACATGCACCAACATGATCAACATTCGATAAGATATTATAGAGTACTTTTCCCAGGTTTGAAAAAGATGTCAAAATGCAGTAACGAATGACCACGGTTTACTGTAATCAGAAAACAAAGATCTACTACTATAAACACCAGACGCAGTCGTTATAATCCCCTGAAAGACAGGTCATTCAAAAATTGCTGTAGCCTGAGCGAAATTAATAGACGTTTGCCTCAATTATTCTTCTAAACAACTTCCATTTGACTTATATACAAAACAGCATCTTTATCAGCAGATAAACTACCTAAAACTATGCATAGAAACACCAAGGCCCCCCACCTCCCTACTCCTTGCTGACAATAGACGATAAACGACTTTTTTCAACTTTTGTTCAATTTTCCTACTTATTTGAGTGTCTACACATCAACGAGATGGAACAGCACTAATGTAGGAAATCAAGACACCAAAATTAGATTAATCAAAGGTCCGTCTAACGTATAAACCCGAGGAGCTTTATTCTTAAACTATTTGTATAGAACGTGCTCCGAGGTTGTGGTAGACAAAAATTGTTCATGCATCACTGTCAAAGTGTGAGAAGAGTATATGAGGCGACGCATGTGAGATTGGTGATAACGGGATGGAACAATTCCTCGAGAAGCCTTTGTTGATGCAGGCAAATCGCAAGACCCCTTAAACCACGCAGGCAGTTTCGGTCAACGCGCAATTGATTGACGACTTAACCAGTAGTATTAATGGGTTTGCTGATGATGTGAGAAATAAGGAAACCTTTGATTCATGGTATTGGTGGTACAAAGACCTGTTCTCGACTGACCTCGCATCACACGACGAAGCATGGAAGGTCAAACGCTTGCTTCGCAAACATGGCCCAATGAATCTGTACTAGTACTGCAACATCATCCTTCTTAAAATCTCCGAAGACAGGTCTTTAGAGGAGAATGTTCAAATACTTGATCGGATATTCAGACAAGGCTTTTCTCTATTCTGTTTGCAATACCGGCGTCTCAAACTCTTCATGGGAGGATTCAATGACTTTCTAGACCATTTAGCAGCAATCAATCGAAAAAGCTAGACATGTCAGCTCAAATCCCCGAAAGAAGACCAATTCAAACCACTCGTTTTTATTTGCAGTCACCACATCTCAGGGCATGCAGACCTCTGGATGCGGCTGCTCCACCTCTTCGAGCAGAACTCATTCGTGACGTTGAATGAAATCCGCAACGAATAACTTCATCAAAGCAGCGCACAGCACGACTACGAGAGGGTCCAATCTGGGGACTGCAGTGATCTTGAAGTTAATGCGGTCCAGCGAACTGCCTACCCATCAACAGTTAAAGCTAAATGGGAGATAAATCGGCATAGGACACTTCTTTAGTGCCAAATTATCACTGCGTACCTGTCACTTTGTCACGTTCTGCCCATACAAGCATCATCGGTATGAAGGACGCAAAGTCATGGCATACATGGACGAGCACAGCCGTTCACCTGTGGCCAACAAGGACAAACGGGGCTCCCGCCTCCAGGAGAAGCAAAAACCAAAACCCACGCCAGCTAGCACCACCATCGTCTTTTTCAGTCTGCTAGCCATCTTAGAGAGCAATGCACAACGGCGGCGGAATTACACGGTCGCAGCCATCAATGGTCGTCCAGTACTTCTCAAGTTAGATGCAGCCTTGGATGTTTTATCATCTTGATGAAACGGTGGCGCTCTACTGGTTGGACGACCCCTCACACAACTATCAGTGCATGTGGCAGAGAGCTCCACTAAGCTAAACCTTCTATGTGAGATTGGGTTGAACGATTCAGCTTAAGCCATATCCCTATAAATTCTAATCGCAACACCCTACATTTGACGGAGTCGCCGTGAAAAAACAAATCCCGGACATTATCAACCAGTTTGCCTCGATTTTTCAACAGGGTTTGGGACACAACTTCGAGACACAGGCCACTCTAAACCTCTTTCCAGACGCTAAACGGGGTCCGTCCTATTCATCGTTACTGTTGGTTGATGCTAAGCTACAACGTCTTGAACGCACAGATTTCCTGTTCTCTGTGTCATACTTGTCCTAAGCGGCTCTAACTCTCGACTTAAGGAAAGCTAATGACTTCATTCGCATTTGCACTGATTTCTTCACTGGCCTCAATGCACCCAACTAACACCACTACTGCCTCCTGCTAGCTTCAGAGGACCTTTTTGCAACTCTAAGTAGCGATTAATACTTCGTCAAAAACGACCTAACCGACGCTTACCTTCAGCTAGTAGTCGTCTCTGAATCCCGCCCATTACTTTGCATTAATATCTATTGCAGCCCGCTCCAATACAACCGCCAACCCTTTGGAGTCGAGACGGCTCCTACTGGTTTCCAAAAATCGTGTGCACAATCGTATCGGGCATTCCTGGCGTGGCAACATACCTCGATGACCGACTAACTGTAGCTAGCTCACCAGGTGAATTACGCGAGCTAATGAACGCAGTTCTTTGTCAGATTAAGACGATGGACACCGGCTTGGTCTGGAAAAATAGGTTGCTTTTGACTTCATGAAAGATATTTGAAGCGTTTTTTTAACTAAAGGCCATCGCTCACAGTAAAAGGAACAACAAATTAAACACCTAGTTAAGGTCTGTCCCCCGTGACCACAGGCCGTCACGAATGCTCCCAAGGTTTCTTCGGTTTGGTGGCCACAGCACCAGAACCCTTTGCTCTGTGGATATATTGCGTTTGCAGGACCGCTTAACGGGTTTATGCAACTACTGCTAATGGACGTGTAGTCAAAGTGAACGGAAATAGTTCCCATGAATTTTGCTACCACAACAAAGACAATCCAAGTGTAGTGCCAAATATTCAGCCAACATGGCGTTTTGGAAATCAGTGTCTCCAACGATGACCTTTAGTTCGCATCAGAGCAATTCAAGAAGCTCTGTTAGCATAACTTTATCACCCACATTAGTTCTTCATCCAACCAGCCACAGACGAAAGGACTGGCTGAAAGGTGTTTCGACACCTTGAAGCGGTCGTTGTTTTCAGCTACATTTTAAGATTTTCATTCGACTGTTAGAAATTACCTTTAGCAATGAATGCCTTTAGGAACTTGAATTCATGACATTAGAGCATGAATAGTCTGCGATCACGTTCGAAATACGTGTACAAAATCTTCTAGTGTAGCTTAGAACGTGCCACAGTGTTTGTCTACCCACCGTCTGGATTGAGATTAGTTAATGCACGTGATAAATCGTGCTACATCAGAGCTTAGCGCGGAACCACAACGCTAATCCATGCGCAAATTGTGGACTAGCATATTAAGCTGTTTTATTTTAGAAATATTCTTTGACTCGTTTTACTCAAGTTGGCTAAACACAGCACCATGTAGATCACCAAAAGGGCGCCGATTAACCGATTGCTGCTTGTTACCTTTTTTACATGCTTCAAAATCAAGGCTTGGGGTGGTGCAGGAAACCACCTAGATCACTGCAAAACAACGTCGTATCGAAAAGGGGTGGTTAACGTTGAAAGGGGCGGCTAGTTCAATTAGCGTTACAGCACAAATGCCTGAATGCTTTAATGTCTGCGAGGAGTTGATGTTGCCTAAGTAAGGACCAGTGTAATTGCCTTCTTGAAGGAGTAAATCCCTCAACAAAGTGATAAGGATGCTAAACTTCACCTCTTAAGTGACATATTGTATTGTCCCCAGCGGTAATGCGTAGAGCTGTAAAGTGCACAACCTGCTTGGGAGAGAAAGGAGACAATATTCTGTTATCATAAGGACGAAGTATCTGGTAGAATCGACAAGCCTTACTTTACTGGATTGCGTTCCCTTGGACATTGGAGTCATGTATAACCACCGAGTGCTTCATTCGCTGTGTCAAAATTCTCCAGACCTTTGTTGCCAAGCGCAAATAAGCGAGTTGTCTGTTTGATATCTATGCTCATTTCGTGATTTATTGATTGTCAGCGCTGAAATGGCCTGAATTGTAGGATACGGAATCCAGAATAAGCAAGCGCACTGCCGAAGATGTCCGAAAACATTCGATTTGTGCAAAATTAACTGCGCACGCATCAAGACATTTGGAATTTGAGCACATTCGATTCTTGATATGAAAAAAAGAAATGGCTTTACTGAAATGTGAGAGAACGCTTCCAGACATAGTAACTTGGTTGTCTGTGTTATTTTTAGTACTTCAATTAAATAGGGAAGCAGCAATGGTTAGAAGCTGTATCACAGCGAAACATCATCGGAGTCAAGCCCACGGTCGACTGCTGCCGGATGGTCAAAATCGCTTATTTATCGATGAAATTGTACTAATGTTTTTAAAGCAAAGCTGCTGTACATGGGGAAATTGCAGTGGTGACCACTAGTATTTGTGTGGATAGAGATCTCGGGAATCCGCTCAATTAAGAATGACCCCAGAGGAATGCAACATTAGTTGGAAAATTATCTATAGTCACAGCAAACATCCACAGCTCTCTCAGCAGCGGTTAAGCGACTAAAACAGGAAAGGTACTACAAAACTAATTAAAATGCCAATTAATGAGGCAAACTTGCCTAAAATCATTACACTAAAGCCTTGCAGTCGACGATTTTGGTGTCAGTATGTTGAAATTTTGTTTTGTGACTTTCAATCCGTTGAACCAATATACTCCCACAAGTCTGAAAAACATTATTTGTTACGCGAGACAAGGTAGTATTAAGGCGATACACAGACTCAAGTGGAGGACGCATTCTGCTGAAAAGTAATATTCGTTTTTAAAACACAGGCATTTCGCGAAAGCTATTTTAGCACGCATCAAGTAGTCCTGAACACGAGCCTCATACGTAATGCCTTCAGTTAAGAATCTAAGTCACTGAAGTGACTAATGAAAGCCCAGATGTAAGACTTAAACTCATGTCAGGACTGACGACCAGCGTAGATAAAAAAAACCAATATACACTGGAGAAAAGCATAAGGGCGAAAGTTGTTTGGACCTCAGCCATGTGTCGTTGGTGATTAACGTGAACGGTTATTTGCAAGAGCACAAAAGTGTGGATGGAATGGAGTTGTCTTAAGTGGCAACGGTGACAGTTAGTGTGAAATGTTCTCTGATAATCCAAATAGGTGTGAGGTCATGGCGCGGATTTCGAAGGTACAGTTATGCTCTCTCGATCCGATTACAATGAAGTCTCTCTTTGTCATCCAAAATAGTTAAGCCTCGTGACTGTGCATTTAAATGGCTTACTTACTGCAATAAAGCCGGCCTGAGAAGGCGCTGATTAGCCATGACTGAGGCCAATAGCCTAACATTCTTCTTAAACAGCAAGTAGTTTGATGCGTCACTATGAGCTTTCGGCCTATCATCAAACAGTAAGCGAAACGAACCACATCTGATTAGCCCTTTTCGACTACCGAATAAAGTGCACTTAAAGTGCTTGGAAATGTGGAGGAGGTATTTGGGTCTGATGCGTTGGAACTCAGACACACAAGTTATGTATTTGTGGTGATGATGTTAACACGAGGGTTATCTGTTTTGAAAATAATCAATTGTTCTGCATGAACACAGTGTAGATTCTGCATGACGGCCAATAATAAGGCCTGCTTGTAGTAATGTGACAGCGATTCCTATCTCTTAAACTGCCAATACTTGGTTTGGCATGCGGTGGTGGCAATCAGTAGGAGTAGTTGATTAGTCTTCTCTCAGCGCTTGCCGCGATCCCCAGCATGAACTTGCTGATGGACGTCCAGCCGAAGTAATCGGCAATTATCCACAAAAGAGTGCTGTGAACTCAATTGTACTGTGGTGTATACGACTACGCTTGCAATATCTGGGTCATCAAGAAGGTTGGGTAGAGACTGTTGCCGATAAATCAGGCTTAGCAAATTTACCGTGAAACGAGATACATGGTCAACTTGGATGGTAGTCCTCAGGCAAGAGAACGAAGTGTACATTTCGATAAACTTCCTTACTGGACTAGATTGCGTCCGCTTGCGTGCCTAGTTAGACAAACATAAACGAGACGGGGCTTGCGGGACGCGTGTAGCAGTTCCTGACCAGTGGTGAATACAAGTCAATAGTTTAAAAACCTTGAGAGTCAGTGGGATGTCGAAACAACCTCAAAAATCTACTTGTATTACTAGTCCATGCTACAACTAAGCAAGTTTCCGTAATTGGCTTTTTAATACATTGTGGACCAACAAATTCTTCGAAAACATCCAGTGAAAAGTATATTAATATTCGTCAAATTATATAACTGTTTGACGAAACCTACCTGGGTTATATTAGGCTACATCAGTGACTCATTTAACAGCATTCATACTGAAGATAGGATTCGATGACAAATTTACCCGTTTCTTGGAATTCCTTTAGGTAAAAATTATTATCGATAACGGGTTTGTCGTTTGTGGCGTCTGTATCGCGGAACTTCTGACTGGAGATTTCTGTTCGGGGGCCGTCGAAGCGTCACTGGGGCGTGAGTCGCCGTTTTCTGCCTTGGCTTCCGATTGCCGTTCTATTGTGGTAGCGGGTCCCTTCTAGTCGGCTTCATATCTGTAAATCACAAAATTCACCTTTACTTGTTGAAGTCCCGGCTCGGATCTGTACGCTCAACATTGCTAGGCAGTATTCACACAGAAAATATTGTTCCTACTTATTCTAATTTAACTAGAGCATTTTGCGAAAGGAGAGACCATGAAAAACTTTAGGCGTAAAGGAAACTGACGGTT